AAGTTTAATGTGCTACAGGCTGTTTCTCTGATTACTCTTCCCCCCTTATGGTTATTATTTCTATCGTTTAGTGCTTTTTTTATAGAGAGATTATTTTTATGATCACTTACTATGCCATATGTATTAACCATTCACTCTAGAGTAAAACTTTCTCAAGAGAAATGAAGCTCTTCCCAAGTAGTGGGTAAATACATGACTTGTACATAAACAACTTGTCTCTCTGTGAATATCTAAGTGTTCCAAGTTTAAATATATAGTAGTGAACAGAAATAAGTAAAACTATAGTTACTGACAGAAAGAAGTCTAGTCTAGTCTGCTTTTAATACTAGAGAAGCACAAATCTATTGTGGTCCCATGACTGTGGTCTTGCAGAGATAATGTTTTAATATAAGTCAAGTGTCTGTAAAAATTTACTAATATTAGAGATGTTAAAGAATCTTAGGGGAACAAGATTCTGAAGAAAAGATAGTGTAGCCTGGAGATGGGGTGGGGAGCAAAACAAAGGGCAACAGTGGGAGGTTTATAACTAGCAGGAAGCTGTGACAAGAAGTGACTTGGAGGCTGCCCAGGCCTGGCGGTTACAGGCACATGGCAGGCCAGGGTTAGAGCAGTAGGAGCTACCATCCTGGGTCATCCTGTATAGCCTCACTCCAATCTCAAAGTTGGAAGGAAAGTGTTCATAAACAGGCAGTCTGTGAGCAACCTCTCTGAAATAGTGCACTACTCACAAGTCACTCTGTATCCCCTCACCTAGCCTTATTTTCTTCATAGCACTTATCACTAATTAAGATTAATCTTTACTGCTTATTTTGTGTGTACCCTGTTACACTGTGAGTTCCATGAGGGAAGGGATTTCGTCTGACTTTATTGCTTATCTCTGTATTTTTAGTACCTTGAAAAAAATGAATATTTTTTGTAGAAATGAATGAAAGAATAAATTGTCCCAATTTACCAGCCCTTTTCTTATCTATCCAAACCAGCCTAGATCTACCCTTTAACAATTCACCAGTCACCCTTCCACTTTCGATCCTTCCTTATATATTCCACCATAACGTACCATGCAAAACCCCATCTGTCTCTCTCCATATATATTTACACATACACACAAACACACACACACCCCTTACAGCATGTTTGTACACCCAACTCTCCTGCTGTTGACAACAGAGAAAAATGGTGGAAAGAAAGTAATCATTTATTATTGAGCATCTATTAAGCACCCATCATTATGTTAGTTATTTCCATAAATATTATCTCAACATTAATAAACAAACTCTCATAATTTTGTTGCCTTTACCCCTCATTCATGCACATTTACTTAAACCAGTCCTCAGACTAACCTCTACTCTCTAATCTCAGACAAGGCAGTATCGTTCCCTGCTGTCCAGTGCTTATCTCTATCTGTCTCATCAATTTTGTTCCTTTCCAGTTCCTCATAGAGCTTGGAAGTCTATTACATGCTTTCATTCATGTATGTGTTTGACATGCTTCCCTCTTTTTGGATCTTTCCAATTAACATAGAATCATGGTCAAATATCTATCCATTAAAAAAGAAAAAAAGCTCAGAGTGACTGCTAATGGGCATGGAGTTTCTTTTTGTGGTGACAAAAATGTTCTAAAGTTAGATTGTGGTGGTGCCTGTAAAAGTCTGAGTATGCTAAGAAATACTGTACACTTTAAATGGGTGAATTGTATCATATGTGAGCTATATCTCAATGAAGTGATTAAAGATTCTCCCTTCAATTATTTCCTTTCTCACTGTGTTTACTTGTTCATGTCCCATCCACCGCTTCTAAGCTACTTTCTGTAAGATCACACACTGACTCTTAGAATAATCTGGTGGGTACCTTTCGCTTCTTATCTGCTCAATCTTCTTTCAAATAGGTTCTAAAACACACATGTGATTATGTCACTAACCTTCGACCAATAATCCATTGCCTTATAGTGCAGTTATAATTACATTTTATGTCACTGAAGGCCCTTTAGAGTATGGTCCTGTCTCTCTTTCTCACCCTATCACCTTTGGTTCATTGCATTCTCCCATCATGATCTCTCTCTCACCTATGTGCAGAAAGTGTTTACCCTTTCTTCTGTGTAGATACCCTTTGCTCATGGCTCTACCCAGTGTTCTCATTAATCCTTCAATCTATAGCCTCTCATTTCCCAGAAAACAGGATTGGATTCTGGCAGTCTGGGTTTAGTGTCTATTCTGTATGTTTGTGCATACACACAGTGTACTTACCTCTATACTGAATTTATCACAGTATATTGTAATTGTTTACTTATCCATATTTCCACGTTAGACAATGAACTCAAGCTGATGAGGGCAGGGACTTACCTTTCAACTTTTTACCCTTATTATATAATTTGGGTTTAGTAAAAGGTTGTTTTAAAAAGTGAATAAATTAATGCCTACTCTTGTTTTCTGTTTTCTCCTTGCCTCACTTCACAATGAACTCTGCATGTGTCCTCTAGGAAATAGTCTCTGATAACCTATCTAGCATTAGCATTTTATGATCTTTCTGTGATGATCAGTAATTCATATTCTTTTTATGGTTGTGCTTCTTAACAGAGAACACCATAAGGAAAAGAATTACCATGTGATGAATCCTTATGATAAGATAGGTACCACGCCAGACACTTTACGTGTATTATACCCCGTCTAGTCTTATGGGGTGAGCATTCTCATACCAGTTCTATATATGTGGAAATAGAGTCTAAGGAAGATCCAAGTCACACAACTAGTAGGCATCAGGGTTAGGAATTTCTTTCTTTCTTTCTTTCTTTCTTTCTTTCTTTCTTTCTTTCTTTCTTTCTTTCTTCTTTCTTTCATCTATCTATCTATCTATCTATCTATCTATCTATCTATCTATCTATCATCTATTTGCTTGTTTGTTTATCCTACTGTATCACACTGCATTATATCACAAGACTTAACACTATGATATAGGATGGCTATAAAAATTATATTTGTTTTAATAACATCCAGAAAACTTTGAGAATTAATCATGCATATTTATATGAATAGTGTTAAATAATGACATGATATATAGTAGTCCCCCTTATCTGTGGTTTTGCTTTTGATGGATTCAGTTATCTGTCATCGACCATGGTCTAGAAGCAAATGATCATCCTTCTGCCACATCATCAGTTCAATACTAACCTAACATTATGCCACAATGCCTACACATCATCCACCTCACTTCATCTCATCATGTAGGCATTTTATCATCTCACATCATCACAAGAAGAAGGGTAAGTACAATACAGTAAGATATTTTGAAAAAGAGAGAGAAACCACATTCACCTTTTATTATTGTATTTGTTATAATGTTCTATTTCACTATTGGTTATTGTTGTCATTCTCTTACTATGCCTAATTTATAAATTAAACTGTATTTTAGGTAAGTATGTATAGGACAAAACATCGTATGAATAAGGTTTGGTACTATCCATAGTTTCAGGCATCCATTGGGGGTCTTGAAACATATCCCCCATGGATAAGGGTCAGGGGGACTACTGTATCCATTTTTCAAGAATATTGAGTGCCTACCATACTTAGAACATAATAGGCCATGTTTTTTATATAATATGAAAATAAATGTGATAGGTGGAAAACCCTCCAGTTAGAGTTTAATTTGCTAATAATTAACTACTTGGGGTTGTGGGTAAAAAAAGGAAGCCAAGGAAACTTAAAGCAAAAGTTTTAAATAATCTTTAGCAAAAGCTGATCTAGAAAAGTTAGTATTAAAAACTTACTTGGTAAGGTAGCTCCTCAAAAAGTTAACATAGTATTACCATACAATCTAGCAATTCTACTTTGGGGTATATATACAAAAGAACTGAAAGCAGAGACTTAAACAGACACTTATATACCAATGTTTATAAAAGCACTATTCACAATAGCCGAAAGGTGAAAACAACCCAAAATGTCCATGAACATATGAATGGATAAAAAATATATAGTATACACAAACAACAGATATATTATTCATCCTTGTAAGGAAGGAAATTCTGACACATGCTACAGCATAGATGAACCTTGAAGATACTATGCTAAGTAAAGTAAGCCAGCCACAAAAGGATAAATATTATGTGATTCCACTTCGATGAGGTACCTAGTGTAGTCAAGTTCCTGGAGATAGAAAGTAGAATGGTGATAGTCAAGTACTAAAGGGCAGGGGGTGGGGATGAGGAGTTACTATTTTAACAAATACAGAGTTTCAGTTTGGGAAGATGGAAAACTTCTGGAGATGGATGGCAGTAATGGCTGCACAACAATGTGAATGTGCTTAATACCACTGAATTACACTAAAAAATGGATAAAATAATAAATTTTATGCTATATTTTCTCCACAATAAAAAACATTATTTGAAGTCCTCACATGTTTAAAGTGAAAGACAAACTTAATTTATACATATATTTGACCTATATATCTAATGTCTAAATGGACTATACCCATGTTCAAATATTCTACAAAGTTAATTTAACATTTACTCTCCCATTGTCTAACCACATGCCTAGAATTTGGATTCAGAAAATACCAAAGATATATTACATTCTTCTAGATCTCTACTGTCCAGTCTGGTAGCCACTAGACATACGGGGCTATTTAAGTTTGGATTAACTAGAAATAAATAAAATTAAACATTCAGTTCTTCAGTCACACTAGCCACATTTCAAATGCACAACAGCCACATGCAACTAGTGGCTACTGTATTGGACAGTGTAGATATAATGTATATTTCCATCAGTCACTGCAGAAAGTTTCACTGGACAGTGCTCTTTTACATTATACTAGAAATATTATATGGTAAAAATCACTGGCGTGTGTGAGGATTCAAGTCCCAGCGAGGTCACGAACTGAAAGGTTATTCTGCTTAATTCACTCCACTCATGTGGTTTCCATTTTATCATAAGCAAACTGAAAGCATGAGGAAGATATTACCCAGTGCTGTCTTGTCTAAAGATACCTGGGAGATCCAGTCAGATAACTTACCTCTCTGAATACAGGATCAGCTATTGAATTCAGATTGACAGCTCCTTCATAGGTCAGGTAATAGAACACGTTGAGGGATCGAACAGCCTCTGGTCCTTGCTGTTTATAGCCAAAAATGAGATCAATCCATTGGTGAAGCTGGCAGGAAACAAATTCACTCTCCAGGGCCTGAAAATAAAGGGCATAGATCATATTATTGTGCTGAATTTGGTTTTTAAAATATATAGAGAAATTTAGAACAAGCAGTAAAGTTTTACACTAAATTTACTGGGAATAGACTTATTCTGATGTCCTATTTTCCACCAGAATCTGTTCTCCTTTGTTTATAATTAGAAACTTTCTGGCACTTGTTACGCTGAATTATATTAGAATGCTTACATTTCAGTATTATTCTACAATACTGTAAGCATTGTGAGGGCCAGGACTGGGTCTGTCTTCATAATATTTGTAACTCAGGACCTGACAGTTACCCAATTCATGCTTCAAAGAGAGAAAACATGAAACATTTACTATCCACCTGAAATGTTTATGATTTTTCTAGATAGAAACCTTTTGTTGTCTATTGAAACAATTATATAACCAAATTATTTAGTGCTTTCAACTGAGTTTTTATGCCAACAGATTTGATCTTTGGAGGAATACTTACAATTACTGAATTATAATTACTATTATTATTCTAGGTATTAGTATCAAACCTGACCAAAAATTTGATGCTATTAACATAATAGTGCCCAATAAATAATGAATGGATGTAATCAAATGTTCAGCGGAAATTCTGGGCACCAGATCCACTTCCAACTCAACACTGCATTCCCAGTTACCAGCACTGTACCTAAAGCAAAGTGAGTACCAACAAATGTTTGCTGGCTTTAATACAGTTATAAATATAAAAGAGATTAAAAAACTGGAAACATTTTTATACAAGTGTCCAGATTTATATTATTTAATGTTCTTCAAAATTATTTCACCATAAAAGTTTAGCATATGGACTCAATTATCAATAATTAATGCTATTCAAATCGCAGAGCTCTAAGATAAATGCTGAAGCTTGATTTGAAGTATACCAAATTATATCAGATGATGTATCTCATAGAAATTCTTTTTAGTGTAATAAGTATATGGCTGTGATATATTTTTGGTGTGGCTTATTATGTTATCAATATTATAAAAAGAAATCTGTTGGTTTTAAAACAAAATTGAGTAATCTCTATAGTAAGCAACCAATAAGATATAAACCATCTTGTGACAAAAGACATTCCTATTAGTTCACAGGTATACACTTGTGTTAAGTATTGCTTTATTAAAATAAGTGCCTGTGGGGGCACCTGGCTGGCTCAGTCAGTGGAACATGTGACTCTTGACCTTAGGACTGTGAGCTTGAGCCCCATGTTGGGTACAGAAATTATTTAAATATTTTTCAAAATCCCTATCTAAAATAAGTGCCTATGAATAAGAAAAGTATTTACAACTGAATTCAAATAATATACTTCCTTTAACTGATAATACTTAAAATGACTTCACAATATATCACATACTATGTAAAATGCAAAAAATAATTCTGTAAATAAAACTCTAGGCAGTTCTCATATTGTAACGTATACCTGAATATGAAATAAAAATATTTCGCTAGCTTCAACTGTGAAAGTTACTGTTTTAGACATCTCTTATAAAACTCATTATATTTATAAATTTAGTAAATAGCTAAGAGAGCACAAAAGTGCTGCAAATGTTATTTGAAATTGGAGAAGAAGAGATTGTAATAAGTACATAGATTTAAAATTAATCTGAAAATTCAGGAATTATTAATGGAAGATGCACAAAAATGATACGTTTGTTTCATTAACTTGGGCCTTGAGTAGGGATGGGGGATTGGGGGCCATGTTTAAAGTGACACATAAAAACAGCAATTGTCTTAATTTGTGTGCAGTGCACTCCACACAAAAGCCCTAAATATGTTCAAATTAGAGCAAGCTGCTTGATTGTCACTGCAGTCTCATGTCACATTAATGCATGACAAACATTAAACCATACACTTAAATGGCAATTTATATCATTTAAATGTTTACTGCCAGACTAGCTCATCACTCATTTAAATGTGACTTTCTGACAGCTAATTTCAGTTAATTTTCTCCAATTCACTTAATTAGAACTTTCAATCAGGGAAGGACCTACACATATCTTTGGGCTTATATCCTTTTTAGTTGTTCAAAATCTGAGTTAATAAACTGCTGAAAAGCCCTCCAATAATAGATTAGCATGTAATATCTCTGAGTCTACAAAAAAAGTGTGACTATATGAAGCAATCTCACAGTAGGTACTCTTAGAAAGAACCTACACTTATTTATGTAAATAATACTCTCGCCAGTAGTTTAAATAAAAAACATTTAGTTCATATACACGCACTATTGAAACAATAAAAAAACCCTGCATCCAAGCTAATTAAAAATTAATGATTTCAAAATTGTTTAATAAGATAAAACAGTCAGGAGTCTCCTGAGTGTCCGTGGTGTTGTGATTTGAGACTATAAAATTCCAGAAGGCTCAGCAAATGATAAAGTACAAGAGAATTTTCTCAATATTAAAGCTCTAAAAACCAGTGCAATTTTATTTTATGTGTCATCAAACAAAGAATTGCGAGTGTTCCTAATGTTGATTACTTCTTTATGCACACTCAAAAATGGTGAAGTTGGTGACGTTTAGATGCTTAAACCTTTATATCTTGATGCTACATCAGAACGTTAAGCAAAAATGCTGAAATGAAAGACACCGTATGCCCCTGTTATACCTCAAACACAGGTGCAGAGATGAGCACTGTGCCCTGGCTCACCCCTGCCTTTACACCGTCATACTGGTCAATCCCTTAAGAGGTCGACTGGTAATTCACAGAATTATTGGCGAAATCTTTCTCAGAAATTGAGAAACAAATTATTTTCATGGGTAGATTTTATTTACATTTCTTAAAACTAAACTAAAAATCTCATTAGTGGTTTTCAAACATTTCTTGCAATTTACCAAAGCTTTAAAAAGGGATACAAAAGAACAACTGCTATGGTTATAAGAGTTCCTAAAAAGTTTAAAATCATTTCAGAAAAAGTCAGTTCAGGACTTTTACATCCTTTCAGTAGTAGTGAATGACAACTGCTTAACCAAAGGTATATAATAATAAAAACTTAGTAAAGATTTGAGGTAAGAGGTAAACACAAACAGAATAAAATTATTGAAGGACAGAAATACAACTAATTCAAAATGGAATATCCTGAGAATGCATCTTATATCTTGTTTTTGAAATTCAAAAACATAAATTATAAAACATATTAAAATTCTTTAAATCCCTTTATATGTTAAGATTTGAAAAAGCACTCTATATAAAATACATACATCCACATTTGTAGTCACAAAAAAATAGAAATATGACAGTGCAATGCTGAGCATTTGTGATTTTTCAAAGCCTTTAGGTCAGACAGTCCTCATTAAGACTGGAGTTAAATACGGTTTGCAGCTAGGGGATAGTAACATTCTTCCCATGCTGCTCTCAAACCTAACCAATCAATTGTTAGTACTCCCTTAGCAGGCTGGATACATCATTTACATCCAATGTGTGCTCTGAGTAAAATTTGTAAAAAGAAAATCCACTAAAATGTCCAACACAATACAATAATATTCAACTCATCTGAGTTATTATAAAATAAATCAGTGACTAATGTCCAATTGTTAAGGATCAAATAAGTCTATGAAAAGACTATCATATGAAGCCTCACACAAATTGTCAATCCAATCCAGGGGGACTCATATTAGTCTTGACAAACTGTCTTGGGGCTGATATCTGCTTTCTTAATGAGATCTATTAAGCAGAGACTAAAACACTTGAGATATGCTAAAAAGTACAGTATACAGATGTCAAATACAAACACTTATTAGTAACTTTCATTTGTTTGGTCCACATGCAGAACATCAACAAATTCAAGCTTTAATATTATAAAGATAATAGTAAATTATTCATAAACAACTCATTTGTGTAATCTTGTGTCAGAAATAATTATAACATATATGAATATGTGTCTTACAATCAATCTCATTGAAAGAATGTAATCTGTGTTTTCCTGCCACTAACCCATTAAGGAAATGAATTATTTATGGATAAAAAATATTTTTTACAATTATTCTTGTTTCCTATAGTACAGTCAAATAATATGATAATTTATATAGAAATGGCTTGCTTTTTACTATTTGGGAATAAAAATTCTAAAATAAAAGGCATTAATAATGTGTTTGTTAATCTCTGTATGCTTTAGAGACACTCTAGCAATTTCCTTTTATTTTCAAACAAAATAATGTAAAAATGTAAAAATCAAGAAAAACAATTTTATTTATTTAAAATTTTTTTTATTTTAATTATTTAAACAAATTTTTTAAGGTTTATTTATTTTTGAGAGAGAGACAGAGCACCAGCAGGGGAGAGGCAGGGAGGGAGGGAGACACAGAATCTGAAGGAGCTCCAGGCTCTGAGCTGTCAGTAGAGAGCCCAACACGGGGCTCAAACTCAAGAACCATAAAATTATGACCGGAGCTGAAGTTGGATGCTTAACTGACTGAGCCACCCAGCGGCCCCTAAAAAATTTTATTTTAGAGAGAAAGAGCACACCAGCGGGGAAAAGGAGCAGAGGAAGAGTGAGAGAATCCAAAGCAGGATCCATGCTCACCACTGAGCCAGATGGCGGGGTTCTATCCCACAAACCCTGGGATCATGACCTGAGTTGAAATCAGGAGTCGAACACCTAACTGACTGAGCCACCCAGCCACCCCGAAAACCAATTTTAATTAACAAAAGAAAGGTAATTGTTTAATTCAAGACCTGAAAACCTTATTTGTGTATTATTCCCAAATTAATGCTAATATTTATTTATACTTTTGTTAAATGGTCTCATACTACACCATTTTTAAAAACCACTAAATAAAAGCTACTGATATCTATAGGACATGATTTTTATGAAAAAACAAAACAAAACAAAACCCAAAGGATCAAATAGTATTTACAAACCTTTAAGTTCAGAAATAATTGCATAACCAGAAGAAAGTAGGTCTGTGTAACACAGATACACTTTTCTCAAGACCTATATCACCACTTCCATTCGTAGGTTTCTAGAAGACCTGATTCAATTCTGAGATTC